TGTTTGAAATGGAAAATTTCAATAGATATTTGTATGGGAGGAAATTTATTTTAAGAACACACCATAAACCATAAGAGAGACCGTTAGGAAGTAGTCGATTTCTGACAAAATTGTGAATAACCAACTATCAAGATGAAAATTTTGAAATAATATACAAAAAAGGAAGTGGGAACGTGCTACCAGATGCAATACGACTAGAGGTCTGCATTGGGCGGGTTTTTGGACCAAAAGCCCGCCCATCCAATATTTTAAAAAAAATTTAACCCGCCCGCCCATAGTTTCAAAAAAATTTAACCCGCCCGCCCAGCCCATTTGTCTAAAATTCCTTACCCGCCCGCCCATTAGTCTAAAATTTTTTACCTGCCCTCCCATTATTTATAAAAAATTTTTAACCCAAGCCCGCTTATAAAATTTAATTATGGTCATTCTTTCATTTTTTTAAGCATCTAATAAAAATATTTCATTACTTCTCTACAAAAAGTTTATAATTTAGGAAATTAATATAAGTATAAAAATAATCAATGTAAATTATGGACAATTTATTTGATCAAATTGAATATTTATGAAAAAAATATAAATGTAAAATTAATATTATATGTAATTTTAATGCAAAAATAATAATGAATCGACATTTTCTGGATTCAATCACGTTCTTCTTTGTTCTAAAAATCTTCCAGTAATGCTAAATCAGCGTTCGGAAGAAGCACTAGTTGAAGGAATTGCCAATATTTTTCTTGCTAATCTTGATAGCTTTGGCAAATCTCTTTCTTGTCGTTTCCACCAAAGTAGGATATCCGTTTGAAGTATATCCTCTTCCTCAAGTGAGATCTTTAAATAAAAGTGAAATCAAATGCAGATTGCAAACCCCAAAAAAGGAAATTTTAAGAGAAAAGTTTTATTACATTCCCATAAAAGGAAATTTTTAATAGACAAAAATGTTTATTTATTCTAAGAAAAAAGTTTTATTGTTGTGTTTATTATTACATAATATAGTTAGGTAAATGTTCTCCACTTAAAAAAAAACGATTGGTTCAATAAAAAAAAAATATTGTTATAGTTCATTTAAACAATTATTTTTTTTAGTTTATTTTAAATTTCCTTAACCCGCCCTGCCATTCTTCAAATTTCTTAACCCGCCCGTCCAGCCCGCCCATAGTTTCAAATTTTTTTAACCCGCCCGCCTCCCATTTTCGAACAATTTTTCACCCGTCCATCCGCCTGCCCACTTAGATGGGCGGGCGGGCCGAAACCCCTCCCAATGTAGATCCCTAATCCTGACACATGAAAACGGAAACAAATAAAAAAAGAAGATCAATAAAGATAGGATGCTAAATAACGTAAAAAATTATATAGATAGTACTTAATCAGTGTTTTGTATATTTATTTTATTATTTTTGTAAAATGTTTATTTATAATTTTGGCATTATTTTTGTGAATTTGTATACACCCCAGAAAATGGGATTTTATGATAAAATGCAATAAAGTTTAATTTATGGCTAAATTACTACTAATATATGTTAACGATCATACTAAAAAAAAAATTTCTCTTTAGCTTTCATCTTGACTGGTGGTAAGCTCCTTCAATATCTCTCTCCACTTTATGTTAATCATACTATCTCTTTTATCTAATTTATACTTCTTCATATTGGCTCTAACTTTATGGCATCATTGAAGTTTTGTCCTTCCTTATTTACGTTTACCCATCACTTCTAAACTCTCAACCATATTTCCTATGTAGTTCATATACCTTCTCATTGTGTGCCCATACCACCCAAGACTGTTTACCATTATCTTAGTCTTAATGAGCACTACCTTTAAACTTCCTAATATTCTTGTACTTCGCACCTTATCCTTTCTAGTTACCCTAGCAATCATTCAGCATTATAGTTTGTAGACTTCTCTCGTCTGATTCTTTGGTTGGTCATGTTTCCGAACTATATAAAATAGTTGGTTGTATTATGGAGCTGTAAATTTTTTCCTAATTTGTGTGGAATTCTTTTGTCAAAGAGCACTTCAGATAAAGATCTCCACTTACTACCCTTGATTAATTTTACTCTTTATCTTTTTCTCAATTGTGCCGTTTGTTTGTATAGTGCCCAAATATTTGCAGCTTTCAATTGCCGATATCTGCCATTCATTTATATCAATGCTCTCTATTTCATCTCCTCCCATCACCATACACTTCGTCTTTTCTCTGTTTACTTTTAGTTCGTGTTTTTCTGGGATATTTATCTAACTCACTAATCTTTCTTCTATTTAATCCTTGGATTCGGCAGGTATCACAATATCATCTGCAAATATCATATTCCACGGGACTGTTTGCGGTATAGACTGTGATAATACATCTATTAATGTTATGAAAAGAAGTGGGCTGAGAGCCGACCCTTGATAAACTCCCTCGTGAAGTCTGCTGAAGTACCAGTTGTGCTAAGGACCATTGTTGTATGGCCCATATACATATCCTGTATTATTCTTATATATTTTTTTCGGAAACCTTTTTGTAGCGTAGCGCCCACCAGATAAGTTATCTTGGGATTCTATCGAAGGCCTTTTCTAGATCGAGAAAGACTATGTGTAGCTTTGTGTTCTTTTCCCTCTATTTTACACTCATTTGCCCTAATTGCGTGGATTGCATCAGTTGTTGATCTTCCAGCCATAAAGCCAAACTGAGTCTCTCCTATTTCGATTATGTCTCTTAACCTTTTTTCTGTGATTTTTTCGTAAAGTTTAATACAGTGTGCCATTAGTTTAATACCCCTGTTATTTTGACAATTGTGTGGATCCCCTTTATTTTTGAAGATAGGAACTAGATAGTTCCCATTTTTGAGGGATCTCTTCATTTCCCAGTATTTTATTGTACAGATTTGTTAGGAGATGCATTCCATTATCTCCTAGTGCTTTAAGGCTTTCTATTGGAATATCATCTGGACCCCTAGCTTTGTTGTTTTTCACATGCTTGATATTTCTTGTTCTGTTATTGGTTGTATAAGGTTTTGACATCATGGGGAGTGTTCGTCTAGATGTAGTATGTGGAGATGATAGTTATGGCTAATAATAGCACTTAAGTGGAATAATTTGAAAGAAATATGAGATTGGAAAAAGATTAAATGAAAATAGGGATATTAAAAGAAAAGAATAATTAAAAGGGAATTTTAAATTTAAAAAAAAGATCGAATCAAAATAAAGTTAAAAATTTTAAAACACCCGGTAGAATTATTTTAAATTATAAGTCATATTTTTTTTCATTTAAATTAGGTTTTGATTATTTTTATTTAAAAAAATTACAAAATATATTTTTTTTATATATTAATAAAACCTAAAAATGAGGCGTTTCGATTAAAAATTTCTATTAGGGGGTATATGATTTTAAAATAAATATTTTAGAATATGGATGATTAAGCAAAATAGAGGCATTTCAGAATATTGCAAGTTAGAGCAAAGAAATATTGGTGGATGGTGTAGGGTTCGATAGATGATATTGATTTGTAAAAATATATTTACACTCTTTTCGATACAAATTGAGAATGCTAAGTTCAAAAACATTAAGTTTAATCCCCCCCCCCCCTCCTCCCCTGTCAAAGAAAGAAAATGGAAATGTAACAAACTTATTACAAATCTTTAATCGCTGATTATTATAAACATCAATCCTAAATGTGTCCCGTTTTTTCTTAAATGACTGCGGGTTTGGAGCCCACAATTTTTAAGAAAATCAGTCAAAATTTTAGGAGGAAATATATTTTATAAATATTTAAATTGTGTCTTCAATATTATTGATTGCCTATTCACTATTTTTTATCGCAATTGTCAACCAATTTTACATTTCATTGAAGAATACTTAGGATACTAGAAAATTGACCTATATTCTTATAAATTTAAATGCAGCTTGAAAGGAATCTATTGTAATTAAGAATAAGAAATGTCAATCCTAAATTTAATCATTTATAATTTTCTATGATACCTCAGATTAAAAAACATTTAAAATGTTAAGGTCAAACGACAATTCTGTCTTTTTTTATATGGCGGTAGGCATCTCAAAGTGTCTTTTGCCAGGGGTGGGGGCGTGGTTTTTTGAAAAATAGAAGCCTCAGAGACGTTCTACCGATCTTTAGATTGGGCGTCTCATGGACGCTAATCTTGGGAGGGATTATGTCTGTCCCAACCTCAATGAACATTTGTTCTTCATTAAATATAAGAATACTCAAACGTTTTTCTAAATTTGCTTGCTTCGATTTTTTGGGAATCATTTTGGCGTGAATTAGTAAAAAAAAGAGAAAAGGCTTTTTTTTGACAAATTGTCCCTTTGAGAAAATGTTGCTATATTTTCAAAACCAGTAAAAATTTTACAGAAGGGGAAGATACTTTGCAAAATATGAATTATAACACTTTTTACAATAATTTTAGTGTATATTAGAAAAATATATAACATATTGCCCAGGCGCAATATACTAATTAAAAGAATATATAAATGATTTCTATCAAATGTGTTAAGAGATTATAAAGATAACATTTTGTTCTTCCCATTAAAGTATTTCTATTTATCGATTTTTTTGTGGCTCAGTTGAAAATCAGAAGAGCGGAAAAATAATAATATTAAATATAATAATTATATATTTAATAATGATAATATAATTAAATTAAATTATCTTATCATATTTATATAAAAATAAATTTTCGATTTTTTTATAGGCCTAAGCATTTTTTGTATCATCATTAATAATCAATATAAAACGAATATTTGTTATTTGATCTTAGATCTTGTTTAATTATAATGGAATGACAGTCAGAAAAATAATATTCCAAATTTAAAAAAATACATTTTTATTCCAATCTACTTTAACTAAATGTATTTTTACACTCAATTTTTTACGTTTTATTTATATTATCATCATCAGAACCAAATCTTAGTTGTTTGTTCCCCAGATTTTCATCCGAAAATTAGACTTTTAAAAATCGCGCCCAATAAAAATTCTTATAAAGCATACCGATTGCCTCCATTATATATGAATGTTGAAAATTTACCTCCAATTGATGGGAATATTGAGACATCAGATACTAATAGATATAATATGTACCTCTCGCAAGTTAATAATCTATACCCATCGAAAAGATATAATTACTCAAATATGAAAAATCTTAGTATTTCTTCTGAGGGAAAAAAGATGCTTAGAAATTTCAATAAAAAAATTTTTAATAATAACAAATTAAAGAATACTAGTATTAGACGACTTAGGAATTCGAGTTTTAAAACGTACCAAAAATTGTTAATAAACAATATTACACATATTCTGGATACCCTTTTGCAGGGTTACGATAACAAATTGAGACCTGGATATGGAAGTAGTTTTGTATTTTTTTATGATAAAAGAAAGGAGGAAATAAGCAAGAAAGGGGTTCAAAAATTACACTTATTTATACCTGATATTAAAATTAGAATTAAAACCTTCAGCAGTTTTCCGAAATTTTCAGCATTTTTTTTATCAGTGTATTTTTTTACCAGTATAAAAAATAATATTTATATTATATAGTTATAAATTATGTTAAATTACAATTACAATTATAATTATCAATGTGTATGTGTATGTTTAGCTCATTTATTATATTCTATGCGAAATTATTTATAAAATTATTGTCAGAATAAATAATAGAATATCAGTAGGGGAGATCGGTGGACGTGCTAACTCTAAATAAAACATCAATAAAATTAAAACTACTTGTTAATATTGATTAAATAATGTTTCATTCTATTCCATATATTTACTTTCATGTTATACACAAAAATAATTTATTTAAAAATTATAATTTCTTAAAAATATTAATTTTTCCGAAAATATTTTTAGCGAAAGGATGAGCTACACTCGTGGAAGGATGAGCTTTCCCGTGAGACATCTGAGCTGTAAAATATCGATGATTTTTAAACACAGAAATGTTATATAATATGTCAACTACTTTATTGACAAAAATAAGCCACAATGGAAAATAATTATAAAAAAATTTAGTGAAATTTATTGACAATTTAAACAAATCGTGAATGGATTAAAATTGCACCAGAATCCATGTGCTTAAAAAGCGCATTTACGGCATTAAAACCAGTCTTCATATTATGAAATTTGTAATCGTTTTATATATATATTAAACATGGGTTTTTATTATTGCTGTTCCTATTCGAGATCTGCAAAAGTAGGCCCAGCCCGTAACCGACCCCGCCCGGAGCCTATTTTTTAAAAAAAATATCGGGTTTGGGCTGGGTCGGGTCTAATATTTTTTAAGAAATATCGAGACGGGACGGGTCGGGTCGGGCCTTAGAAATTTTTTAAAATCTAAATTTATAAATTTAATGTTGAAGTTTTTATGTAAAATAAAAATATTTGATTTTATTTATAGAAACTAGACGCCATATAACATATAGCGTTTATTTTGAGTAATTATAAAAATTAATTTCTATGTTTAAATAAATTCGGGCCGAGCCGGCAAATTTTTTCAAAAAAAATTTCGGGCAGGGCCGGGTTTGAAAAATTAGACACGATGCAGATCACTAGCTATTATCATTATTCTTATTATTATTATCATCATTTTTAATTTTCACAGCCCTTTCCTTTGCTTTTTATTGGGAAAGTAGGTTAAAATTATAATGATTGCTTATTTTTAGTTTTGGATATGGCATAATAGACTCTGAAATAAAAGAATTGAGGTTTTAAAATTTTAAAAAGCAAACTCAAAAAGCTCATATAAACCTCTGGAGAGTAACTCAAGGCCATTAAAATCTTTAAAATTTAATTTTATAATAGTTTAGACATATTTTTTGTTTAAATAAGGAATAATTTTATATATATACGGTTTAATCTTTTATATAAGATAGTTATTGGCAAATTAAAACGTTTATTATTTTTTATTTTTGATGAATTGCAGCTTTTAAAAAAGTTACTTTGAGGTTGTAAATCCTAATGTTATTTGATTGCCTGTAGGTTTGATGGTTATGGATCTGTCCCCACCCTAGGACAAAATTTTTCTGACACCAACATTTGGGACTAGTTAGGAGGATAAGATAAATAAGTTAAAGAAGTATCGAACAGGGTACTATAAATGCCTAAGTATACTGCAAATGATAGGACCAGGGCTAGTGGGCGTAATTATTATCAAAATCATCATAGGTCTAAAATATTTTATATTTTTATTTTAAGATGGATTCTAGTAGTAAATTTTGGTGCCTACATACCCCAAACACAAGGCTTGCATATACAATTGATTTTCTAAGTCCACTATAGGATAATTAATATGATGATGCCATTATTTTAATAGACAATGTTTGATTGTCATAATATACCATTTGCATATAAATATTTCATATAAAAATGACTCATGACATTATTTGAAACTTAAAGGTGTAAAATTTTAATAATTATTTATTTTTTTCTATCTATTGCATTATCATATAGAATTGATTTAAATCCATAATAGTAGCCAATGAATACTTATTTTATATTACAATATAAAATTATTAGGGGAGACTGATCTTATGAGCCCAGGGGCGGACTGGCCTTAAGACCAGGTGTGCCCACGAGGCCGCAAGAAAATGTAGATTTTTGAGGTCTATCAAAGAAAAATATCAAAAAAGAGGCCGATTAGAAAAAAAATATATTATTATGTTCACATTATGTTCTCTTATCATTTATTTATTTTTAATGATATCTCTATGATTTGAATATCACTTCCTTGACAATTGTCATGTCGTTTACTATAATTTAATGCATAAAATACCAGTAACGTCGCTTGACGCTATACATCATTACCGCGTTCTTTCCTTTGTTTTTTTTTCAAATGTAGTAAAAATGCTTCCGATTGAGTAGAGTGAAAGCTAAGTTTTGATTAATTTATTATATTACATTTTTATACATTGATTTATTGTAGAAATAATATAGCCAACATTTCTTGTTCTTAATACATTGAAATCAAATAAAATCCAGGTCGGTGAATTAGATAAAAGGATGGATGCTTGGGTGAAACAGAATAATTCATCTGGCCAAAATAAGTTGAGAAAACTGCAAAAAATAGGTTAGATAAGGTGGTGGGCACGTGAAAAGCCCTTAGAGGATATATGGTAAAGTGAGCTTGCTCCCAAAAACGATATGCACTTCAAATTATAATAGATAATAAATCATTTGAGGCAAAAACTTGATAATTTATGTAAATTTAAGACTTAAGTACACCTATAATATATTTGGAAATTTTTGAAATAATTGGGCCACTGTCATATCTTCAAACAAAAAAATTAGGTACTTTGTCAGTATGGAAAATGATAGAAGATGCTAAGTCTTCTGTATCATCGATTATTACATCGATTCAAAATAAAGCAATAAAATGGCTTCTAATTTAAATGAAACACTTTTAAAATTTATAGCTCCCGGAGAGTATCAGGGTACAGAATGCTCCCAAAAAATCGAATAGGGCGAGCGAAGAGAAATATAGTAACAAATGCCAAGATAAAGATCCTCAAGAATCGATTGATCTTTATAGGTTCGGAGAATTTCGTCCTATAATTGATCAAATTATAAACAGCTTATCGGCTCTCTGCGAATAAAGAGCTTATTTTGAATGTGCAATATTTGCATCCTAGATATTTTGATGAAATAAATAGTATATATATTATGTGTTAAATTACGTAACGAATAATGTTCATTTGCCAGTGTATTCAAAGATTTGGTAGCAGAATTAAAGGAAACGCGGTGATCGTATGTACAAGTGAGGAGTCAAATGAAGAAGGTGGAATATTACAATATGATAATAACTCAGAGTGTCATAATAAATGTAACAAGTGTTTAATATGCGTGTATGAAATTTTTAAAAGATGCAATATGCATACAAGTGACACTAATTTATTTTTAGCATATGAATGCATTTTAACTTTGTCATTTAACGCAGGTTAATTGCGAGAAAACATTTAGTAAATTAAAAATTGTAAAAATAAGCTGAGAGCTAATAAGAAAAATTAGAAGCGTTTTTAATGATGTCAGTTGAATGAGAACCATTAGCGCAGATTGAACTAGAAGATATTCTTGTATATTTGCGCAAAGGTTCAAAGTTAATGAGAGATTTATATATATTTCCTTAATTCTTTTATTTGAATTTTATTAATATCTATTTACAATATGATCGGTGCCTGATTTTATTAGTGCAGAAATTTTATACGCTGTAATATTGTATAACTGCAATAATTTTATATGTGTAATTAATTGATTTGATATATTGAGTATGTATTTTTTTATATTTAACATGTGATGTATGATTGATTTTAAAGTGCAATATCGTTATAAATCTAATATAAAATATATTTGTGCAATGAATATTATTTTATAATGGTAGTGAATATGATTTTAGATGTGCATTTTTTTAAAATAAAATATATGATTATCGTATAATACTATTCTCTTTTATACTAAAAATATAAATCTTTCGATCTTATTTTCAAAATAATAAAAATCATGTAGGAACCCGGTCAAAGACCGAGCAAAAGCGGGACAAAATTGGAGTATGGGGGCGAAGCCCCATATAAATGAGGCCGCTATAAAAAAAATTCCCACGAGACCTTAGCGTCACCAGTCCGCCCCTGTATAAGCCTGACGTTCTTGCGAGCCTTTGGGTTTTCTTCTAGTGTATTCAACTCTAATGGTCTATTTTTTAACCAAATATCTATAACTATAATATGAGGCTACATCTTTTTAAATATCGGATCACATATAAAATTTTATAACACAATATATCATTTATACCCTCAATAATAACTTTTTTAAATGCTTGCAATTTATCAAAAATAAAAAACAATAAAAGTTTTAAATATCCAATAACTATCTTATATAAAAGATTATCCCTATTCTATATAAAATTATTGGTTATTGCCACTTTCGGCGGGTATATTATTTTTTTTTATTTTATTTTTTTATGTTATTTTTTTTTGTTTATTTTTTTTTAAAATTAATATATCAATTTTTTATTTAAGATATTTAAAAAACGTTTTTTCTACAAATTTTTACTTAAGATATTTTTAAAATGTTTTTCTACAAAATTTTATATTAGGAATAAAATAAAGGAATTCTAAATTCCGCAGCGTTTATATATAGGGGAGGGAGGGGGTAGGAGAATTTACCGGAGGCATATGTCGGGAGACAAATAAAATATTTCTAACTACTACAACAACAAGGAATTAAGATACCACACTGCGTTTGGTTAAAGATAATGTAATGCAAGATTCGACGATAATGACTCACTTGTGGTTAGGGTATGTAAATTTTTCCTGAAAATCAAAAGTGGTAATAAATTTAAATCTATTTATCTTAGATATAAGAGGTTAGAATAAACCAATTATTTCCACTATCGGGTCAATCATTCGCAAAATTTTATTGATCCAAATGACAGGTCTATCCACACCCAAAAAGTCGAAAGGATGTGGCGGGATCTAAAAGCAAACTATAAAGGACATGGGGATCGGGATAACATTCATGAATATCTACTAGAATATAGATATTATAGAAAATATCTATTGTTAAATCGTTTTGATATTTTTATTCATTTTATTAATGACTATATAAATTTCAACAATATGTTTCAATTTGAATTAAATTGCATTATTTAATACTATACTTCTTGTATAAATTTTAATACTATATTTAATTGCGTCATTTAATACTATATTTCGACTTACTTCACTAAAAAGGTTAAAAAATCACTTAAACTTCAAAAGTGGGGTCTATTTTACAACTAATACAAAATTTTGTAAAAAAAATTTAAAATATCTTAAATAAAAATTTGTAGAAAAACTATTTGAACTTTAAATAAAAAATTAAATTTGTAGGCAAAATTCTCCTATCCCCCTTCCTCCCCCATATATAAACGCTGCGGAATTAACAATTCCTATATTTTACCCCTAATAGAAAATTCTGTAGAAAAAACTTTTAAAAATATCTTAAATAAAAATATGTAGAAAAAACTTTTTTAAAATATCTTAAATAAAAATTTGTAGAAAAAACTTTTTGAAAATATCTTAAATAAAAAATTTACATATCAATTTAAAAAAAAATAAGAAATAATATATCCCCCCCCCCCCCCCCGAAAGTGGCAATAACCATAGAAATATTATTACTGTTTAAAAAGTCTATTTTTTAAAAAATTATAATATTATCAAGTAGTTTTAATTTTTATTGATTTTTGCCTTTTAGGAACACATGCCCGCTAGTGTCCCCTATAATATATCATTTAAGTATAATTTAATTGATCTGACTAGTCCTGATTCTAATAGACTAGTTTTTTTAAAACGGTCCGATTAATGATAAAAGCCCGTTTAAGTTTTAGCTTAAGCATTATTATGTAAACCATGAGATTTGGCAAATACAGGTTCAAACCTTTCTGGAGGTTTACATAATATTATTTTAGCTAAAATCTCAATCGAGCCGTTTTTAGAAATCGACCCAAATAGGGCCGTTTTACAACACTAAAATACCTTATAAAAATATATTTAAACATGATATATTATTATGTAATTAATCATAAAATAATAAACGAATATAACTAGCCAATAAATTTTGGGTCATTTTTGAAAAAGGCTTTTTCTAAGTAACATTAATTAGATTTTCTTTCACAAATCCTAAAATTTTAAATATAATATCTGAATAATGAATATATTTTACTGGCTGTTTTATATAAATGATGTACTTATTTTACTTGTAATATAATTAATAAAATAATGGAGAAAAAAATGTTTTAATTAACAAATCAATTAAAACACTGAAAAAGAATTAACTTTTAAAAGGTAAACTGCAAATGCTTAGGTAAAATTTTTTGATATAATCTCTCTTAATTGGAGCGAAGTTCATTTACTTATTCTATAAGTAACTTATAAAAAATTAAATTCTTAGATATATTCAATAATAAATGAATAAACATTAATAGTTGTATTTTCTTTTATCTCATAATAAAGAGTTTAAATCTTTTAATTTCATTAAAAATAATTATATTTTAAATTTCATTAAAAGTAATTATATTTTAAATTTCATTAAAAATAATTATATTTTAAATTTCATTAATATTAAATCCGCAAGTTAGGGTATTATTATTTCATAAAAAAAATTAAAAAATAATACGCCAACTTGCGGATTTAATATTAAATTTATATTAAAGGATTTAAACTATTTATTATGAGATAAAAGGAAATACAATTATTAATGTCTATTCATTTTTTATTGATTATATCTAATAATATAATTTTTATAATATTCATATCATAAGAAAATGAATCTCACTCCATTTAATAGAATATATATCAAAAATTTTTACCTAAGCATTTGCAGTTTACCTTGGCATTTGTAGTTTATTCAAACCCTTAAAATTTATACTAAACCCTAAGTTACTCACATTTTATTATTTATACTGGTAAAATTAAAAATATACTTTTGTTTTTATAACTGAGAAAATATTTTAAAAAACTGGTGATATCCTGATATCTAATAAAATACTGGAGTAATAAATAATATCCTTAAAATTATAATAGAACGTTCAGTGATTATTACCGTGGATATCATGATTCGAAGCATGGGTTCCATTTCCGAATTAAATATGGTGAGTATAAAATTTATAAAAAAAAAATTTAATTGATTTTATTTTACAAATACAGTAAAGTTAGTTAAATATTATATTATTTTCAACTCTTGGACTTATCAGGAATTTAGGAAAAAGGCTTTTGCGTTCTCGTCCCTTTCGGTCAAAAAATATGTTCAGTTCCAGTTTGATTCTACGTTTCGAAAGATTCCAGGCTATTCTGAAAAAATAGCTAATTTAATTTATATTTAATAATATTCAAATTTTATTGATTAATTTTTATAAAATAATTATTACATCTAAACATTAATGACATTCTCTAAATATCATTTAGATATACGCGGTGGTGTTAAAAATAAAACTTTTATGGCTATTAATTTTAGCAAATTTGATTTAAAATAATGTTTTTATTGTTAAATAACAGAGTTGTAAGTATCTAGATATAAAAATGTGACATCGGTATATGTATCTGATACACTTTAATATAAATAACGTGATCTAGATACTATTATAGAGGAACCTGACTTTTAGATATATTTTGATTTAATTTTATTTTACGTTTTTTAAAAAAAAATATATGAATTAAATTCATTTTAATAATGTGTTCGAGTTTATTTCATTATAAAAACTAACCAGACAAATTTATTTTACGTAATGGATGACGACAACATGGTAAATTTTATATTATAATTTATTTTATTTTAATATATTTTTTAGATCAATATTTCTTGACAATCTCTTAAAAGAAATTTAATATTATATTTTTGGGGGTACCTCTTAGATAATATAAATATATTGATATAAATTTTGAACTCATCAAATTTTGAACAATATTTTTTAAAAATGAGTGTTGGGATTTTAATATATTTATATTTAATGATTATACTAATATAAAGTTATTATTCATTAAATATGACAGCCCCTCTGCCTCAAGTGCCCCAGTAGAAAGAGTTCAGCAATGTGACTAAAAATTTGCAAATTGCAGTGCCTTAATGATAAAAATTTTGGGAATAATTTGTTAATAAAATTATATATTTGTATATGAAATATTAAAAACTATGCTTGGGTATAATAATTGTATCTGTATCTAGATTTATTTAAAAAAGTCTTTTAACAACTCTCCTAAATAATAAGTAATATAATATCATGTAGCAAATTGGAATTAAAGAGAATAATGATATTTATGATGTAACATTATAAATATTATATTTAGGAATGAGCTATTATGACAATAAATTATTTGTGCAGTTTTTTTTTAAATGAAAAGTTTTTAAAATTGTTTTTATAGTTTTTTAAAAACGCGATAAAAAAATTATTTGCATTATAATTGCAGTTTTTTTATACTAATGAAAATTATAAAAAAATCATTCTTTGCCCTAATTGAGTAGTAAATATTATAGTTTAGTATTTCAAGGGTATTTATAATTTTTTCCCTGCCACCTCCTCGATCAAGCGTCATAGGAAATAAGGCAGGATTAAAGGTTAGCCAAATATAGATTAGGGTTGATTTATCATAAAAATGGGCATTATTATAGTTTATTATAATAGATTAATTTTTATTTAAAAAAAAACAAAAAACTAAATTAATTTGAAAAAATTGCACATTATCAATAAAATATTGCGCAATCAATTGATTTTAAAGATATGAAATTGGCTTTATTTAAAAACTACGCATTTTGATTATTCAACTGCGCATTTAAATAACACCCATGCTAATTAATTTTTAAAATGTTCCCAGAATTGCAGTTCTCGTTTCCTTCTTGTTCCATAATATTCTCTAAGTTTCGTTCCCTGCATATGTCCGAATGTTACGATCCATGCCCTGGATTATTATACTAACTTTAAAAGTTAGGACTACGGATAATGATTGATTTTTGTTAAATCTTATTCATAGAATGGAATTGACCAGTAATATAATTATTTTCAATTAATTGAATCTTATTGCAAGTGAGCCAAACACCTGTAGTGCAGAACGAGGTTATTTAGGTTCTAACTAATTTTAAATATTGACAACAAAATTAACTTAAAGAGAAGACCTATAAGATTATAAAATGCTATAGTTAAAAACAATCACTTCATAAACTATTCATTATCTCTTAAAACTCTTTTTTCCACCTAATTTAAGGACTTTACTATGAGCTTGTACTTTCGACAAACGTATAGTTAAACTCTTTTTTCCACCTAATTTTAGGACTTTACTATGAGCATGTACTTTCGACAAACGTGGAGAGATGAAAGGTTGGCCTATGATGGTCCAGTAAAAATTTTGCCCGTTTCTATTAAAATACTTGAGCAAATATGGAAGCCGGACACTTATTTCCACAATGGGAAAGAGTCCTTTGTTCACAGTATAACCGTGCCTAATAGATTCCTGAGAATAGATAACAACGGATCTATACTTTATTCTACTAGGTTATATATAATTAATAAGCGAAATATATTATTTAATGAGATCATAGGAAAATGTAATATAATGTATGGATCAATTACAAGGATATGATATTTTAATTTTAATTTGTACTTAAGTTGTGCAGATATAGTTTTTAGTTGCCTATTAGCCATATTACAAAAGCATTATAAAATGTAAATAAAAAATATTTCTCATATTATAAAATTTCTCTAAGTAGGTTGTATGCGCACTTGAATAAAACGAGGCACTTGCAGAAAAAATGATTTTCTCTAAGACTATATCATCAACTTTATATCCTGTTAAAATTAAAACTCCTTATAAATAATACACCTATAAATTCAAAGGATTTTCTTTTATAAATGACCTTGATATCAATAAAGTTAACATACTCTTCTAAAGCTCTTAAAATCAGGATTTAGAAAAAGTCTTAAGAATTTCGATTTCATTGTGAAAGAGTTTTTATGCACAAATACAGAGATTTAATTATTAAAATTTTTTTTTTTAAATTTCGAATCTGTGGCGAAATTTGACCCAAAAATATAATGAAATGACGTTTATAAGTCACTTCCAGTTTTAAGTTATCATGATTTATTTTGTTACATATTAAAGAGAATGTATTCGGTAAATTATCGGATTCAAACTAATGTTATATTACCGTTGTTGATAGGTAGATCAATTTTAATATAATAACTTTTATTATCCAAAAAATTGAAAATGTTCAAATGTAGATTAACGATAAAGGCTAGATGTCCCATGAGCCTTATGAATTTCCCGATGGACAGACAAGTGTGCCCTTTGATAATTGGCAGTTGTAAGTTACTTATTAGAAAAATTAAATTATATAATAAAAAGTTTTTCAAAGTTGAATTATAATATTTTATTAGTATATTAGGATAATCAAAATCTAAATATCAATGACTTTTCTTAGTGGCGTCACTAGCCTTTAAATCTCAGGGGGCTCAAAAATTATTTTTTTTAAATTTCTGTTTTTTGCTATTTTTAAAATGTTGTTTTTTTCTAAATTATAAGCAATTTTAAATATTATAAAATTCTTATTTATATTTTCTCATTTTCAATTTAGGTAATTATTATATTATTGCCTGGCTCTTGTAAATATTTAATTACTTTCAAAATGACCTTTTTTAAGGTATTTTATTAAAAAAAATAATTTTAGGGGGCTCTTAAAATTTTTCAGGGCTTTAGCTCCCCCCCCCCCCTCACCCTAGTGACACTACTAGTTTTTAATATATCTGAGATTTTTTCCGTAATTATTTGAACAAATTTGAAAACCATGAGTGATTGTTAAGCTGATTTCTATTCTCAAATAGTTCGAGCAAACAAATATATTGTACATTATTACAATATAATATTTTATAATTGATATGCCCTTCTCATAGACTACAAGGTTAATTAAAAAAAATTGGCCGTACGCAGCGGGGGGGGGGGCAAGGAGACAAATCCCCCCCCCCTCCGTTAAAGCCAAAAAATGCAGATGACGGATATATTTTTCAAAAATATTAATGTTTATATTAATTTATATTTGTTAATATTTATTCCTATCTCATATTAAATATATATTTAATTACATTTATTTATCAAATACAACTATTAAGTAATTTTGTCAATTAATTTCGATTTCAAGTTGTCATTGGCGTAATATTTACCTATTATTTTCAAATTTCTAGTGGTGTAATATTTATCTACCATTTTTATATTTCTAGTCAAATAATAATTTTTCTGAAACTCCTTGTCCAACAGGGAGAAAGAATGTGCAAGCTTGTCCAACGAGATGGAGTCTCCGCCATCAAGCAGTAACAGCTTTTATGGAGGTAGAAGAGCCGATTATTAATGCTATTACTGAAATATCACAATGGCCTGAAAGAAATATTTCCTCAGAAGCAAGAAAATTATTGGAGTTAATACTTATTTCAAATTTTTTTTCTCATTAGAATGTATTATTTAATTATACAACTATTTTATGTATTACTTTTCAAAAACATGTCATTGACTTGATTAAGAAGATGAGAATAGCGGAGAGCATTTTATCAGAACTCAAGGAAATTAGAGCTAATGTTGATGAAGAATTTCAATTTTATATGTTATTGTTGAGTTAAAAGGAGAACTATACATGTTTAATATTTGTCTTTCTTGACTTGCAGCAAGGCAAGCTCATCGTCAAAACATTAGTATAAGATCAGTAGAAAAGTATTATAAAACTATAATCCAAATAAATGAATGGTTTTTAATTCATCATGCAGCACTTACCAATCAGCAGATATTACTTCCACAAAAGCCTTCCCAATCTTTTTCAGATGGTGATAGAAAAAATAATATTTGTTTGATGCCTTATTAGCTGAATAACTATGTTTAAAAGATTAACAAAGATATAGTCCTAAAAAATGCTATGGATGCTTTGTATAATTTCAAACACATTTTAGATTATATTCCCAATGTATTAAAATGATTATATATATATATTAGCAACTCTTCCCATTAGTAAACTAATGAGAGAACATTCTCTTTTTAAGAAGAATAACAGAGCCCTGCAGAGGTATCATTTGCAGGGCACGGCCCGGATTTTTTTTCAAAATATTTTTCAGCCCGGCCCGGGTTTTTTTTAAAAGATATTTTCAGGCTTAGCCCGGCTTTTTTTAAAATAAAATTTTCAGGCCCGGCCCGGATATTTTTAAATAAATTATATTTATTTTTGATTTTTATAGCTAATAAATATTTGGTTTTAAAATATACAGCCGGGCCTGGATAATTTTTTTTTAAAAAATTCAGGCCCAACCCGGGTATATTTAAAAAATTAAAATATGGTCCGGCCCGAGTCTCTGAAAAACATACCTAAAAAGTACAACTTCTGAAAGTGGATTGAATAGTTTGGATTTTTAAAATATTTATAGGCATTTGACGCCAAGCAAGGATGAGTAATTGAAAAATTAGCTCAATCCAACGAAGATTGGATTTTACATTGTAAATATAATACAAAATACAATTATTCCTAAGAAACTTTTTGTGTATTAATATTTATATTTCCAACATTTAAATTTTTTATACTTTATATATAAATTTTAAAGGCTCATAAAATTCAAATTTCTATTTTGGGTCATTTAAGTGATTCATATGATGGTTATATTCACTTTATATTTTTTAATTCACATTTATTTTATAGTTTTTTATGTGCCCGTTTATATATATAATTTTTTATAATTTATATAATTTAAAATTGTGTATTAGAAATAGTTATTAGTCCTAATAAATTTGTGCTTGATATTTTTATAACAATAATATTTCTTAAAAAAATTTATTATCACCCCCCCCCCCCCCCCCCCCCCCAGACCAAATTCCTGCGTACGCGCCTGGGACAGACATCGTAATATTGATTGATTTTTAATTTTTTAATAATTGTGTGTTAAATCTTATTTATTCTTCAAATATATTTTAGCTGATATCTTACTCTAAATTCATCAAATTGAGTACTTAAACAAAATCATAAAAATTTATAAATTTTTTTTGTTCAAAAATCAAAAGTTAAGCATTTTTTTATTCTAGAAAGTATTGTTAAAGTAATATGTCACCTGCTCCGATACTTACATGACATACGCAATCTTTATTTAATTCAGATTTATTCATAGAAATTATAATTAAGCGGAATAAAAAATTATGCCAATATTTACTAATAATTTTTCCCATTTATATTTTATATCAATTTTTTTTATAAAATTTTAAAAAAAATGCACAATGGGCGATTACAAAATATGATAAGTGCATATATTAGCAAAAATTAAGAAAATAACCCATTGAGAGTACTCTAAAAATTTAGTTTTTATTTATATATTTAGTGAGAGTTAATCAATTAAATCCCCTCCTAACTTCATAATCTTAAAAATGTCAAATGAAGGACTCCAGTAGACCGACGATTTGATTAAAAATCATTAAATGTGTTATGATACGCAAACACTTTTTTTTACTTATTGGAAATTAGTATTGTTAAAGGGTTCGATTTGAGCCGATTTTATAAACGGCTGACTCAAAGTTTTAGCCAGAAAAATATTGCCTAAGCCTAGATTTCGCTAATAGATGTCCAAACTTTTGTGCCATCTATGTGAAAAATCTTCAGGTTTGCATAATATTTTTCTTGATAAAATATTGAGTCAGCCGTTTTTAAAAATAGGATCAAAAAGAGCGGTTTGATAACACTACTTTCTAGCATATAAATTTAATTTCATCTGTCAGATAAGTAGGCACCTCAAGTTCAGTATCATTGATTAGATTTGGGGTAGAAGAAATCTCAAATTTTAAAAAATTATTATTTTTGACAATCACCGGATTTTAATATTTAGAAGTATTTAATGAAGCAAATACAGATTAATAATGTTAAATCATTTTGTTTGGATATTAATTCAACCCATTTAAGCTTAAAATATGGGCGTTAAATGATAGCTAAAAAGGCTGGGTCTATTTTTCAATCCAACTGTAAAAAATCGTATAAAATCTGAAAATCAGTCTTAAAAAGTGCACAATGTCGCAGGCAAGAGTTTTATATTTATAATAAAATTTATTTAGTATGAAATAAATGGAACCAGTTCCCTATAATAACACTTCTCTTCCTCCAATTTATCTAAGCCAATTGCCGTATAAAATTTTAAAGTATTCTTGTATATTTCATTCATATATCTTTGAAATAAATATTTTTTCAGAATATCAAACTAGTGATCGGTATCGGGCCTAATTTTTCAAGCCAGGGCTGGCCAAAAAATTTTTTTTAAAAAATTTACCGGCCCGGTCCGAATTTATTTAAATATAGAAATTAATTTTTATAATTGCTCAAAATAAAAGATATATGTTATATGGCGTTTAGTTTCTATAAATAAAATCAAATATTTTTATTTTACAATAAAAATTCAACAAATTTAGATATATTAAAAAAATTTCCAAGGCCCGACCCGGCCCGAACTTCTTTAAAAAATATTAGGCCCGATCCAGATCGAACCAGAATTTTTTAAAAAGATCTCTACTTCAAACAATAAGCTTAATTTAGACTTTTATGCTTAATAATATCCATTAAGCCAGTACACATAGAATTACATTTTGTAAAATAAAGCACGTTACATAATTCCCAAAATATCTTTCAATATTTCAGCATTTAGGTCTGCCATTTTCCGTATCACTTAAAACCATTGTTGATTCATAAATTCTTGATACGCTTGTATTTTTATCATTTAATATACTTTTGTTATCACTTGACAATTAAATCAAAGTGACAAGATTACCGTAAATGATTTGAGAGAAGAATTGTTAATAATATATATCATTGAGAATAAAAAATATTATAAGGGTAATTACTAAATTAAAATTTATTTACCTATATTACCATCTAATATTGATATAAAATGTATTTCATTCTTGTTTTCTTTATCATGAAAATTACTTGCGTTATCAGTAAGTCTAAGGTAAAAGATCCAAAATCACTCACTATATTCCCGCCAAAAATATGAAGGCATTTTTCATAAAAAATTAATTTTTTTAAGAAAAAAGGATTATAAATATTAATTTCTAATTACAGGTTTGAAAAATGTAAATAATTATATTATTAATTCCTTTTTCCAAAAGTGAAATTAATTACAGTTGCTAATTACAAAAAAAGGATTTGTAATTATGGAATCAATTATATGTAACTAATTACGCCCAAGCGTGTTCAAAAACTTGACTCCCGGCTCGGCAAAATTTTAAATAATGAGCCAGGCCGGGGAACCCGCGCATTTTTAACGGACTGAGTAGAGCCTTGAGGTCTCCAGTTCATCTATACTTTAATTACTACTAGGGAAAATCAACCGTACACCCTCGTCAGCTTTCATTTTTTATATAGGACATGTCCTAAAGTTATTATTAATATTATTCTGAAACAAATAATACAGTATCTTTTCAAATGATCTATTTACTCTTCATCAATAATATTATTTTTACTAGATTTTTTCATTTATAAAGTGATTTTATACATTCCATCTTTTTAACGGGATTTCCCAAAGATGTCATACCTAAACGTGATGCATTCTATAATCTTTTATGAAATTGAGATATGGCAGGGACGTACTTTTGACCTTTTATAATTACTGCTATTCTTTAATTGATATATACGTTATATAGGACCCATGTATTTTTCACTATTTAAAACGGATAAGCAGTCACAGGGACTAATTAAATTTAAAAACCCTTAATTAGATTAAAATATTTATTTTATAATTATACAATAAATCAGTCGGTTACGAAACCAAAGACGTGATCTATAAGTGGGGCAAAAAGAACGCGGTTTCATTTACTAATGATCTAAAGTTTTCTCAATTCGCTATGGTCCATACCGATTCCTATGAAGTGCTTATCGATTCTCATATAAGTTATTTTCAATAAAAATAAATTATAAAAACGTAAAGAATATTTCAAGAAATAAAAGGGAGGTTTTCTCAAAATTAGACAAGGGTTCCAGATTTTTAAAATTTCAAAAATCAAGGCATAACTATGTGTTTATATTTTTGGAATCTTGGAGTTGGTTGTATATGTCGTAATTTTTAAGATCAGAACTACCCGGAATCATCACAGGTTTTAAAGGGATAATTAAAAAATTAGGGTTTTAAGTTAAGAAATAATAATACGGTAATATAGCGTTCTAACCGTGATAAAGAGGAATCTTATTTTAAAAAGTGTTTTACGAGAGTTTCGTTTTATTTCTTTTTAATTTTATTGTTATTTATTTGACCTTATGAAATAAGATATGTCTATTATAGGGTATCCATCGATAGCTAATCAAAAGATCTATTCAACTGGAGGTCAATCTCTCCCCCTTAATGGGCGAGTCTAAGTCTGAGGGGTCAGGAATATTTTTATCAAAACAAAATATCGATATGGGTATCAAATAAAAGCTAATTTAAATATCCTTTGACTGAAGTATTCATCTTGATTTTGGGCGTAGATGGAGGGGGGGGGGAATTTTTTTTTGATATGGGTATCAAATATAAAATAATTAAAATATTTTTTGATTGTAATAATAATTAAATTCTAAATGGGCTCTAGGTCATGGAGAGGAAATTTTTTATCAACACAATATATTAAATAAAAATGATAGATCAAATCTATGCCTCAAAAATATTGAAACCAAAATTATCCAAATGGAGGGCGAGAAACTATGGGTTGGTACTAATTTGGAAAAGATTCCCCATTTTTAAAAACGAAAGTTCACAAATCAATAAAATTTAACAATTTAATTATTCTAATAAGACCATTTCCATAATAACAGCATCAAAAAGTGCGTCATCTTATGGTAATTGTAAATTAATTTGCAATTGTCAAAGTTGCAACAATAAGAGATGCCAATGTTTTAAAAATGGCATTAATTGTTTTACAAAATGTCACTTAAATATTATTTGCGTAAATAATAAATAATTGTTCCGCATGTCAACTTAAATATTATTTGTGTAAATAATAAATAATTGTTCAAAATTATATTTTAATTTTCAATTATCAAAATCAAATAAAATATGCGTTGATTATATGGCTTGAAAAAAATAATAATAAAGATGATTTGCTTGTAAAGAAGTGTAATAATTTATAACTGCAATAAGAAAATTCTATGTCATTTTAAAATTTGTGAATCGATGGTTTCAAATATAACTTCCAGAAATTTTGAGATTTAAAAATATTAGATAAAGTTCCGAGCCAATAATTTAATCATTAGGATACAATGAGTTTTTAAAAAACATTAACTATATATGACCCCTGCTTATAGTGATATTTAATATTGAAGTCTAAATATGTTGTATTTAACTCTTATTTGATACCCATGTTGATGTTTTGTGTTAATAATAATATTCATGACATCTTAACATGCCCGCTTTGAGTGATAAAATTAATATAATCAAAAGATTTTTTAATTACTTTTTATTTGATACCCATATCAATTTTTATAAGCCCCCCCCCCCCTCCCCTCATTCCCGGATTAAGTCTAACCCTTTAAGATAAGAGTAAATATTTTCAAAAATATTTAATATTTTGTGTATTCCTCACCATCCAAAACCTCTAGCCTAGTTATTTAATTATTACAATAGATATAATTACCTTTTATTTGATACCCATATCGTTATTTTGCATTGATAAAAATATACATGACCCCCCACCCGCCCATTTAGAGTGATAATTATTATTACAATCAAAAGATATTTTAATTATTATTTTATACCCATATCGATATTTATTATTTTTTACTCCCTCCCCCACCCTTCCGGCCACCCTCCAGACCAAGTCATATCCTTCAAGACTAATAATGAATACTTCCATTAAAAGATATTTAAATTAGCCATTATTTGGTACCCATATCGATATTTTGTTTGATAAAAATATTCCTGACCCCCTAGACCTAGACTAACCCTTTAATGGTGAAATGTTGACCTCTAGTTAAATAAATCTTTTGATTAGCTATCGTTGATACCCTATATTCGATATATCTACTTTCATAAGCCCCCCCCCCCTCCCCCCAAAAAACTAACTAACTTTGAAAATAAATAAATAAAAAATTTTAAAAAATAAGCAAAACGCGTTTTAAATTAAGATTCTTCTTTAATGGTTCAAACGTGATAATACCGTAGAGTTCTTTATCCTTTATAAAATTGAATTCTTAAAGGGATCCCTTTAAAATTCGTGATGATCCCGGATAGTTCTGATCCTTTTAAAAATTACAACATATATATCCCGAAAAAGAATCTAAAAATTATTGAGAATTGATTTAAATAATAATTACGCTTCCTTCTTCATACATCTAATTATTGTTTACCTCCTATGGAAATTATCAATTCTATAGAGTTTAAAAGGGAACTTATTGATTAAAAGCAAACTGCTAAGTTATGACACAAATAAAGGGATATAACGGACAATAACTTTTTAAAATACTTTAATAATATTTTATTTCGAGTTTAGAAAATTCTAGCATGTTGAAAGTAGAATTTCATTTCAAGAGACATATAGGATATTTCCTACTGCAAATATATTTGCCTTGTATTCTGATCGTTGTTTTATCTTGGGTCTCGTTCTGGATTAACAGAGAAGCTACGGCCGATAGAGTCGGATTAAGTTAATTTATTTACAATAATTAAATGTATATAATACTAATGATAATTATCAATGGACGCCAATTTAATTTTAATGTATATAATTTTCAGAAGTCTGCCCTAGAATCCGACTCAAAACCGACCCTAAAATTATAAAATCCTTAAACGGGCAGGACTGGCCTAAAAATAAAATACAAATCCGGGGCAGGCTAAATATAAATTAATTAACATTTAGACGAAACTTTAAAAATTCAGGTCGGGCTGAAAAATAAAAAAAACCCGAGCCGGGCTAAAATATTTGTTTAATCCGAGCTTGATTCAAAAATGAAAAACATTGCAAGTCCTATTTAAAATTTGGCAGCTGTTTGGTATTCTTGGATATAATATTTATATAGATTATCTAATTTTTAATTGCGATATTTGAGAAAGAGTAAATTAAATGCTTTTCTAGAAATTTGAGTAAAAATATGCTAAAAGGGAAAAATTTTGAATATTAAGTATAATATATATATTACCAATGAGAATATTATCTATCATGAATGAACAAAAAAAGGTATAACAAGTGTTTTAGCCCTCTCGGCTTTTTTTCTTGATGCCCGCTCAGATCTTCCTAAGTCCCCTTATCCTACTAGATTGGATAAATTTGTATTCGTTTGCCTTTTTTACGTCAGTTCTACCCTTATTGAATACGCAGCCGTGCATTACAATACAAAATTTGGTACAGGGGAACTTTTGCTTAGTGAGATGCTCGATGTTAAGCTAGGATATCTACCGAAAGGTATTATAATGCATGTACTTTAGTTGATTTTATTTATATCTTTCCATAAATTTTTGTTTTCACTCGGATAAAAGGTGCAAACCCATATTTTTATATTTTCATTTATTTTTATTCAGCTAAAAGATAAGGTTCATCATATATTTTAGACTAACTCTTTTTTATCATATACATAATTCCTTAGGATTTTGATAAATATTTGATAGTTTAAGCACAAATATCAGCTAAAGTGGCCAAATAAAAATTTTAATTTCTATTAATTTTTCTAGTTTTAAGTAATTATGTTTATAATATAGAGATCTGCAAAATCCAGCCTGGTCAATTAAGAATTTTTGTACCATGCTCGACCCAACCTGTTAAAATTTTAAAAAATTCAGACTTGGCCAGGCCCGTAGAAATATTATAAAAAGTTAGCCCCGATAGGTTAAATTTTTTTATACGAATTTTCCCGCCAGCACGTTTTTAATAACTATATCTAATTTTTCCCAACGTCATTTAAGGGTAGTATATCTCTCCTCTACATCTATCTATTTCTTTCTTGAACAACCGTTTTATAAATCAACAGTGTTTAATATCTCTATTGTGAATTTGTAATTGCATCATATCAAAATAGTTTGTTTAATTTTTTTTGAATTTAATATATTATTTATAATTTAGCATTTTAGTTAGACATTCTTAAAATACAAAGAAATAGGAATATTGTAATTTATTTTCATATATATATCAGCCCGGGCAGCCTGTTATAATTTATGAAAAATTGCAAAGCCTTGCATGATTTTTATATATAAATTGTCAGTGCCGGCCTGAAAATTTTTGCCCGTTCTATTTTTTAAAAAATTTGGCTGGCCCAGTTCGAACCGAGCCATAGGTTTTAGGACGGGTCGAGCCTTGCATTTCAATTATAATTGTATCACTGGCATATCCAAGATTTTCGTATAATTCGAGGGCTCTTGGGTAGTTTTTTCACCATAAATTTTAGGATGTTTTACCCATCACCTTTAAAAAACTCGGTCAGATAACAATTTAAAAAATAAAATTTGAAGGTTTCATAAAATTTTTAATATAGGGATTATTTAAATTCTTTATTTATACTTTTTTTTAAAAAAAATAAGATTTGCATAATTTTTTAGAAGGAGGGGGAGGGGCGGTTGTTGGGATTTTTTTTAGCTTAGAATAATATTTACTAAAACTGATATTGCGAGGAGAATATCCACTCTCGCCCGGTTACACCAATGAATTATAAATATATATACATACCTATATGTTTATAAATTACTTATATGAAAATGTAATAGGACACCAACGAGACAAAGGTAATGACTATTCGGAAGAGGGAACCAAGGTCGATGGTGTCATGGGTGGTGGGAATTATAGAGGAAGCCTAATAGATCGAATGGGAAACAGCTATAGAAGTTTATTAATATATTTTATTAAAACTGGAGTATTGCAATAATTCATTTCTTTAAATTTCCCTTTATGATTTTTATAAGTTGTAATTTTGAAATTAATTTCCTCAAAAAGGTTTAGATAATATATGCTTTTCTTGAAATATTTCAATGCTTTCTTCATTGTTTTTAGTAAGCTCATTTATACATGATTGCTAAATGATCCTTTAAAAAGATCGATTCCCTATCATTACAAAAAAATAGGACCACGTTCTTGGATTCAAGCAAATAGAATCTCATTTTTACAATGCTGATTAATAAAATAGAGATTTTCAATGAGATATATTTATTTGTTAAATTATTATGAATGTGATTTTATTTTTATTGGATTTAGATTGATGAAATTACAATTTCTGATAGACCTTAAATAGTAAAATAGAATTTTTTAAGATTTTAATTAAAATAAATTTTTTTATTTAGATATTAATCTTATGTTTAAGTGGATAATAAAATTTTGACATGACCCACATATTTTAAAGGATTAAAGATCCATTTAACTTGCCAAAATTACAATCAAATCCATGATCATGGATCCTTTAATAATTTTATAGCCATATCAGATTCTTAATAAAATTTTAAATTCTAAAAGACCTTAGGAATAGACGTGGAAATATCAGCAATGATCAAACAAGCAAATCGACATCAAATGGAGTGAAAATATAAATTATATATAACATAGAGCAAAAAATTAAAAGGTGAGGGGACCTATAATTAGTCACTAAGGATTTCTAAATTGGTCATTTTTGTTGTCTTTATTAACAAAAAAATTGGGGGGGGGGGCAGGTGAGCTAAAAAAATTTCTTCTCCGAACTATCTTGCTTATAATTGGTAAAAAATATATTATATTACCACCAATCTTCCTCTTTGAAAATTTATTATTTAATTTAAAAAATATAATAAAACACTATAGTCCTTCAAACATGGATCTTCTAACAAAAAGAGGGATTATTTATTAATGATTGGTAAACTAACAATTCTTGTCCTGTTTTGGCCTTTCTACCTCTTGATAAAACTATGGAAATGTATGACTAGTCAACCTAAATGGGGGAATCAGGTTTTTAAAAAACATTTTGTTAAACTCCTATAAATATCGTATACTTTTGTAATTTTACAGGAGAGCAATTTTAAAATTAAATCTCTATTGTTTTAAATAGGAATATTAATCTTATATTGGCTATAATTTAACTTATTTTGTATTATATTTCAAATTTTTTGTGTAAATAGAAATATTATAATTATAAATTGATTAAAAAATCATTTTTGATATAAAGTGAAGAATAATCTAATTTTCAGGCGACGACATATAGACTATACTATTTAATTTTTTTAGTAAACATTTTAAGACACTGGGTTTTTAATTAAAACTTTGACCTATTATATCTCCAAAAATATAAAGTAAGATGCAAGAATTTTACCTAAGTCGAAGTTACAATTAGAACTGTTTTTGTAAACAAAATTTTATTAAAATTAAAAGGAATCTGTGAATTAACTAGTAGTTAAGGTTAAAAAGACAAAATTATCTTATTATCCGATTATGGGGAGAATAAAACATGAAAAAATTATATCATCTGAAAAGATTACCATGATTAAAATGTAGAAATGAAAATATCTATATTATATAAATATATCGAATGATATAAAAATAATTATCAACATTGAAAATATATTTAATGGATTTAAATCTCCAGATCATACTTAATAAAAAAAATACTTAATAAGCTAAATACCGCAAAATATAAAAACAGTGACCAGACTTAATTGCCCTGAGTACGCATTAATCCTGAAGAAAAAAAGACAATCATTATTTTTTCTATATTACATATCGGATCGATTAATATCAGTGATCGGCCGGTTTCAAATTGATATTGATAAAATTGGATAGCTTTATCCGGTAGAATCTTTGTAAGGAGACGTGTCCATCGAAAATTGAACATATTGTTTTTAATAATTGACGAAGGTCGAGATTTTAGTATATATATTTTTCAAATTAAAATTGGCAAATTAAGACTTTTTTCCAAAACTTTAAACCCAATTTTTAACTTAATATTATCAAAACTAAGCCTGGTGGTAAGGAAGAAGCTAGGCGAAATCATGAACCCAAAGTCAACAGTGTCTCCGTTCTGGATAAGATTTGCAAAATACTATTTCCCGGTTCGTTCCTCATCTATAATTACTTTTATTGGAAACCTTATTTTGAAGAATAAATAATGAACACCTTTTTAAAATTATTATTTGAGATTTGTCTCTCATGTATTTTAATTTATATAGGAAAGTGTTTGATTTTAAAAAAAAATTAAATTATTGTTTTACATAATGTGCTCCAACCATATTTTATAAAATGGAATGAAACTTTTCGCGTAGTGGAGATTCTGAACTTTTCTTCTTTATGCGTTTATCAAAAAATTAATTTAGAAAAATGAAAATCAATTTATGTATTTTTACTGTTATAAAAAATTGGTCTAAATCTAATTTGACATCTTTATAAAAACTTGAGCAAGAAAATTGTAAATGCTAAAATGAGCAAACTATTTGTCAGTGTTAAACTAATTTTTCCCAAAATTATTTCTTAAGCTGGTTATAATTTTAAGGAGTTTCCTGCAATTTTATAACTTTTACTTACCCTCCTTTCCCATTTTTAATTGATAGTATTTGAACCTAATTAGTAATGTTGTGAAAGAATGTGTTCATAATGAACGTGCTCATGAATGATATTAATTTTTTTTTGAAAAAAATGTTGAACGGCGTTTCTTTTATTTTTGGCGAACTTTGAAAGTGTTCCATTCTGACGAAAGCTTTCGTGGTATATGCTCGTTCAATTTTAAAAATATTCTTATTTTTATTCATTTGAAAATAAAAATATTATTTAATATCAATCCGAATTTTGCTTACAAGTAAAAATTAATTTATAATTTAAATGTTTTACTTAATCTATATTATTACCTACACTATAAAACATAGGCTATCCAGGATTTTGTTGGAGGGGGGGCACTATGGTTTTCCCCCATAAATTTTATTGGAGATCTTTAGGACTTTGATCATATTAGATTTTTATAAAAATAATTTTGAGTTTTCACTTTAGCTTAAAATGATATTTACGAGAGCAGATAAATTTACGATGGGAGAGGAGGGTGCTTGATTATGGGCCTGCTATAAAATTCCCAATATTTCACTTTCTAAAATTGATAACAATAATTATTAATAAATTAATAATAGAATATTATTACCTATACTGCAAAATTCACTTTGTAAAATTGATATAAATTAAAAACAAGATACCCATAAAATGGAAGTATAAAGCCCATAAAATTTTGAAAAATGGGAAAAGAAAAAAAATTTAATTTTCATGTATTTAAAGAAATTTTTTTTTCATTTTAAATATTCTTTGACACCTAGAACCCTTAAACCTTCCACTTTTAAAAAGGTACAGGATTGAGTTCAGTCAAAATACCAGAGTTCAGGGTCCGAGTTCATATCCCTGTTATTTACACAATATATTTTATTAATTATATTATATATAATAAAAATATTCAAAATGAGAGAAATATGTATTTAGGAAAAATTTGATAAAATATTATAAAATAAAATATGCTTTATAATTTTTCTAAAACCGTAACCAAACCGAAGTCTTATAGACAATGGGTAGAGTGGGCTCCTGCCTGAAATCCTCAAAAAAGTGTCAAATAAGGAAACAGGAAAAAAACCTTTTTAGAAATATTTAAAACAGGAAGCGTTTTTTTTAATTTCAACTTCCAAATTTTGCTTATTATACATATGAAAAAAGAAAATACTTACACAAAAAGGATTAAACATTTTTTAAGAATAAATTATAACGAAAAGAAACCATAGTATTTCAATATTTTTATAAATAGAAATGTTTCATTTTATCAATATAAATTTTTAAGCTTTATAATTTATTTTAAAAAAAAGATCTCGTAACGTTATATAATTAAACAAGATTAAAAGTAGGTAGTAAGTATCCGTAAATTAGACATTTTGAAAAAAATACTATTTATAAAATCATTATGCATTCGGCGCGACAAGTTGGTTATTCAGCTATGGTTCTTCAAGTAATTTTCCTTATATGTATTTATGAAAAAAAGGGATTGCATTAAAAAATTAAAAAATGCAGAAAAGTTATAGAACATTCTACCTAGGTTTATCTATAACGCACAATCTACAAGCTTTGAAGGATACTTTTCAAATTGACCAGAATACTTGGCTAATTAAAATGCCAATTCTTAATATTACTAACATGTTTAAACTGAGTTTTCCACTTATATATATATTCTTATCCTTTCTTTCAATTATCCTTTTTTTTCTTATAAGACTCATTTAATAATTCATACTTTGCCCATTCCACGTTAAGAATCATATTATAATATCTGTGAGAATTTAGCATGCTGATGGCTTTCCTGGCAGACTCCTTGTTTTTGTAGGTTATGTAGGCTATTCCCTGTAGCGATAAAATAAAATTTTTAATGTAATTTTACACCTAAAAATGATTATTTTCATGTGAAGCCTGAAGAATAAATTATCAAATGAAAAGGCTAAGGGGAGGGAGGTATAAAGAATCATATCAAATCTCTAATTAATTACCAACGAAAAGACCTGTAAGTGAAACCAGGGCTGACTTCTTAATTTCTTGAACCCGAGGTAAAAATTAAGTGACAAAAAACTGGGATGAATAAAGACGTAAGATTATTACAAATAATTTATCACCTATGGCCATTTTAGAAAATGAAACATACATAAGTGATAGGCGTGTAATGAGACAATTATGGACAGTTCTACATTTCTCTGAAAATAATAATTTTATTTGAGGTGTTAATTAAAAAATAATAACATGTGATAGATTAGGTTTTGCAAATCACACATCATTATTTCTTGATTTCTCTATAATTGATATATAAGGCATTTTTTCATAGTAATTTCATTATCTGAATAAAATCAATTATATTAAAATTAATTCTTAGATTCGTTATAATAATTAGTAAATTATCTGAATAATTTATAAAAAAAATTAAAATACAATTCATTTACAATTATAAAAAAAATATAAATTTAAGATAAAAATAGTTATTGAAAAATAGACAATTCAATTTTTTTTCAAAATTAGGCAATATTGATGCATATCCACTACTAATATTTAATATTGGTGAAAAAAGCGATTTATAAAAATGGTGTGATTGAATAAATAGTTTACGTTAGAGTAGTTGATATTTCCGTTTTTTTACAAATCAAATTTATTAAAAAATTATAATCAAAGAGTTGAAATATGGTTCAGTTATTATTAGTTATTATTTATGGTCAATTTAAGTTAACCATTTAGTCATTTTTGAGTAAATTATTAGAAGAATTAAAAATTTTAAGTTAGAATAAGAGATTGAACCCCTAGGACAAGTCAAATTGAGGAACAGGAACCTACTTTACAAAATTTTGGGGAACCAAAGCACGAACCACTTTTTTTTAATATTCAGAACCGAAACTTATTATAGTTAAGGTTCTAAACTCTCGTATAGTTGATCTTGTGGTTTGTAAAAAAATGAAATTCCGATTTATTCTAAATAAATTACTTTGGATATTTTGTTTATCCTATCCTTTATTAAAGCAGTTTTCGCAATTGGACCCAGAGGGGTGAATAGATCGCCCAAATCCTTTTCATCGCATAAAATGGGTAGATTCGTCACTTTGATAGTGCATTCATCTAAATTTTTTTATTACGGATATTTTTAAAAATGTATTCTTAACATTTTCATATTTTTTTTAATTTTAGAATAGAACACTAAAATAATTTGAATACTCTTTCTCTTTATTTCCTTCCGTTTCTGACGCTAGATTATAGTTTTTGAGTCAAGGCGAGAAATTTTGAGTCAATATTTGTATTTTATTGACAAAAATAAATTATTTATTAATAATTAATAAAAATTCTGCTTTGCCTGCATTTTTTAGCGTTTTAACTTCATCCTATGGATTTACATCAAGATAATTAGGCTATAATTATAAATGCAATGCAGCAACACTGTTAAATAAGATATAAATTCTAAAATATTTTAAACTTAAGGATAAAACGCTAGAGAATCCATTCTATAACTTTTGAAATGGGTGATAGTCTAAAAAAAATATTTTTAATGATACTTAGAGGAAGACAGTCTTTTGTTAATATTAAATAATACTCTACCAACCTTTAAACAAATTAAATAAAAAATTAATAAAATACGAGTTTTAAAAAATGTTAAAAAGATAAGAGATATAAAATAAAGGTTGACAAACAATATAAAAATATAGCTTTTACACTGTAAAATTGATATTTGTAAATTAAAAAAGCAAAAAATTTAAATACCTCGAAGTCTTTGCTGGTTGTAATCTAGTGAACCACCACCATTTAACATTGCCATTGGCTGACCAGCTGCATTTTTCCTAAGATTGGGGGGTATATACTTACCCCCTGATTGACTATTATTTTCGTTTTCTTGGCCATCTGGTCTATCCTGTGAGAAGGTGTTAAGACCAAAGTTACCTCGTTCATCCACAGGCAATATGATGCGCTTCTCAAGACCAGTGGAATCTATTAGAGCTTTTTTGGTGATAAGAAGTATATCAAAAGGATATTAATATACATATGATATATTCCTTGACAAATCAACAAGATTTTCAATCCTACCCCCTCCTATTTATCTAATTTTTTTATAAGTTTATGTATATTACAAGTAAGAAAAAGGTAAAATTTTAGCTCCCAACTCAACTCCAAACAGTGGCTGAGATTTATTTAATTATTATATTTGAATATTATTGAACTAGAAGCATCATTTAAATCCTTATATAGCCTAATGATAGGCCTTTAAAATTATATGTTAAAAAAATTTTAAATGTCAAAAACTGGAAATATTCATATAAAATCAAATAGACATTTTTTTTCTCTCAAATTTTTTTTTATGTATAGATTTAATGAACAAATGAGCAAATTATCAAGTTGGGAAAAGTTCAAGTCTAGAAGATATGGCAATTTAGTTATTAGTCTATTACAAACATTATTAATAAATATTTAATATTTATCAATAATTGTAATATAAGTCAAAAGCTATCAAATATTTTATGTTTAATATTTAAAAGAGTAGTTGTTTATGATCTATAAAAGTTTGTTTGGAAGGGGGGGGGGTGGTTATTTTTTTTCTTTTTGGTAATGTGCCATGGGCTGTTACAAAAAAATTTATTCTATTTTGATTCCTAAATAAAATTCCTGCTAACTTAAATTATGAATTTTATTCATATATTGATTACTAAATTATCGTAAAAAAAACATTTTTCGTAAATTTTAAAATTTTGATTTTAGAAAACCAATAATTTTAGTTTTAAAAAAAATTGGTCTTATATCTGCAAATTTATTAAAGCCACTTTTATATCATTATAGGTTTCTTTAAAATTAGAATATAATTCCTTGGATAACATAAAATGAATATTTTCTTCACTTGGTTTTCTCTTTTAACCTTTATTGATATAAGATGGTTTTACTAATCATACAACTTTTTTAATCGGAATTTAAATTTTCCAATAATATCTATAATATAGTCTCAAAAAACACATTGGCCTTTATAATATTTGGATTGAAGAAAACACTCTTTTCCTTGATCAATTTTTTTTGCTATTCTTGCCATGGATTCAGTCTTAGAAAATTTTATTATTCGTGTTTTTAGGGTCCAAGAATTTGGTAAAACAATCAATATCTGGATTTTTTTATTTTGATAATGTGTTGTTTAAAATTTATTTTTCAATCACTTAATGATTTCACGTTCATTGTTAATATTAAAATTATCTTCTGAAACAATTTTCAAAAAATATTTCTTAATTTTTGACATCAGATAATCAAATTTTATCAAAGATTTATTTAGGTTAATTATCCGAGGAGGTAAACTTCTTAGGCCTAATGTATATGTTTATCCAAATTGTGTGAATTTTAGGAACGAATTAAATATTACATAAATTAACAATACCCCCTCCCCTATCTTAATTACTTATTTATTTAAATATATAAAATATTTGAAAGATTATGATTTATCAAATGTTTATTATGAATTTTTAGAATTTACTAATGATTAAAATGCCATATCTCCCAAACCTGAGCTTGGCCAAACTTGAAATTTTGCAAATTTATTAATAATTCTATATCTAATATATAAAAAAATGCCAATTTGATTTTATAATCATTTCCGTTTTTTTGACATTTAGATTTTTTAGACAATATTTAACATGATATAACTTTAAAGGCCTACCATTAGGCTTATCTAAAATTTAAATGATGCTTCTAGATCAATTACATCCAAAATTAAAGGAAAAACATTTTGTCCAAAATGCCTAATTTTTTTGACCTCAAGAGTCATGTATCTCAACTGCTGTCTGGAATTGGAGGCTAAAAATTTTTTTTTAATTATAATGTAGGCAAACTCAGTAAAAATTATAAAAAACCTGAGTAGGTCAAATTGAAACTCATGAATCACCAATATAAATTAAATATAGTAAATTGTATATTTATTAATAGAGAAAAATAATAAAAAACAAGAAATATCAGATAAAGAAATTTTTTTAGTTAGAAACAAAGTAAAATTATTAGAAAATTCAAATTTGGTATTGGTTATAATAGTGCTTTCAAATGGAGTGTTTATATTTTGTATAAAAAGCAAAAAAAAGTTTATCAATTTGCATGACACAATTCAATATATTATTTAAAATAAAAAATGTTAAAAGCCTCAATTTGGAAGTATAATTCTTTTTTTTACCTTTATCACAACTATGGGTAAAATGATCCCCTTGGCACACCCTACACTTCACACCATATGATTTAAAAACTGGTTCTTCTTGTATGCTTTTTTCAGTCTGTTTTTGATTAGATTGGAAAAATAAAATGTTATTTTATAAATTATATTTTCCAAAATATTTATCTATAATCTTAAAAATTATCTTATTTCACGTCATAATTTAGTATCCTTACTTTAAAATTTCACTAAGGAAAGTTTTTTTTAAGCTTATGAAATTAATAATATAAATATAACTCTTATTGTTAATTAGGTTAGAGTCAAATCTTTTTTTAACAAATGAGAATTTATAAATAGTAATGTTAAATATTCACACAAAATTATATAAAGGATTTTAATTAAAAAAATACCTTATTTGAATTAATTAATTCCAATTTCGTCTCTTCACACAATTTTTGGTGATCATGGAGTGCTTGGGTATTTTTATCAGCAACATTGCCAAATTTTTTCCAAGCCTTGATTTATGCAAATATTTAATAAAAATATAAATGTTTTAATTTTTTGGCATATACATAAAATTAAGATATAATGTTTAAATTAATCAATATTTTAAAAGGGTATGATAAAAAAGTTTTAATAATAAATTACTTTTCTTTTGATGACAGATTTTGGAACTTTCCTCACTTCAATTTTATACCTTTTTACTACCTAATAACAAAATAATGATTAAGTTATAAATAGATTAAATAACTTTAATTTTTTGCCCATCTGGATTAGTGACAATCTCAGTTACTGTTTTAATATCATCTTTTTGTTCGATTGATATGTTTCTATCTTTAAGATCTAAATAAAAAATAATAAAATTTAATATGTATGTATATATAATACTATCTTCTGCTTCTTGTTGCTCAGCCCAATTTTTCCTATATTTTAAAGAATTTTTTTAGTATAAATATAAATTATTTGATAAATTTACGAATTCATCAGATGCAAAAATGGAAATTAAATTCTTAAGGATAACTTCTAGCAAATTTTAAAATAATGCAAAGTAATAATTTTTAATTAAAGCTTATAGGGTTTCACATCACAATTATTTTGGCTTATTGATATTTATTTTATGCAAATAATATGCAAATAAACTAATTCGATCATTCAACCAAAATGCAATCAAGTGAGTTCACACAAAATGAAGTAATTTATTTCTATTTTTTATAAAATTATACTTTTATTTTATAGGAACTATTAAACTCGAAAGTCTAATGAAATGAAGAAATATAATATTGTTGTCCAAAATAAAATGCAGGGTCAGATACTTCTAAGAACATTCAATATAAGTTCAGAAAAAGTGAAAAACTTTATTCATGATATGGAAGAAGCCACAAGCTCATCGTTTATTGTATACAACACTCGTAAAAGTTTAAAAAAGTAATATTATACATTTATTTTTTTCAAGCTTATAATTGGGTGTGTTGAAATCACATATTTGTAAAAATATTATTTTATGGAGTAAGTTGATTAAATCTAGCAGAATTAATATCATATCATATATAAATTTTCAATTTTTAGAATTGATTTACATATTTCTTGGATATACCATCACATCTAAAAAAATTTAAAAAAAGGTGATAGTAATAATTTATTCCAAACAATTATAAGAAATTTATTTATAAAAAGTAAGTAGACATATAGTTGATTTTACTCTATTATATAGTTAGTTATAAAATACAATAAATTCCACTTTTACAATTTTACAGTTAATAATTTAACAAATTTTACTAATCAATGCTCTTGATATTAAATATAGCAACAATTTGCATTTAATTATTTAACGCCATCTATTTATTTTAGCAAAAATGAGATTTAAATTTAATCTTCATATTATTCATCCCACAACATCTTTAAAAGATATTTTCTGATGTCCTTATCAATATTTTATAGTTTTCTGTAAAATATATAATTCGCTATATTGGTAAAAATTACTTAATTGTCATTTGATAATTAGATATACTGTAAATCTACGACATATAATTGTTGAAACTGTTGAAAAAAAGAAGAAATAAATTTATTATAATACATCAAATGTGAGTTATTTTCTGACAGGGGAATTAAGTTTTCCTTGGGGGAAGAAGGGGAGATGATGATCACATGATGGGTTGATGGGAAGGATTCTTTTGTTGTCCATTTTGGGATGAAGAGTTTGGATTAATTCGAGAAGATGTCAGCGAGGAACTAAGAATGCTTTGGGAAATGAAGATTAGATAATTATGATTTATGATTTGTATATTTCTTTTGTTAATGTATAGAGATTGTTGTGAGTGTTTTTTAATAAATAAAGTTGAGTCGTATTCTTATTCTTATTATTATTGAATTATGGGTTGTTATAATAATATTCCACTGTTTGTATTATGCTTTAATATTTTTTTAATTTATGATTTAATTTTATCAATAATTTTATAATTATATTTTACTTTTATTAAGATAAATAAATTAAAATTACTCACTTTATAAAAAATTATATTTGATATATTATATTATTTAGTAATTTTATGGATCTATTATTAATAATTATAATACATTTCACTTCTGTCTTAAGACTTATCTTTGGCTTATATTCCATTTATTAAAAAACATTTTTGGATCATTTTACATATTTATAAATTTATTTTCCCAAAAATCTATAAATTATGATGAATAGTTTTATAAAAAAATATCAACTTTTACATTCTTTCTTTTAAATTATTATTTAAGATATATGCATACATATTTAAGGGTCAGAGAGGGGGGGGGAGTACTAAGGGGATATTTTTTATTAGCTAAAAATGATATTTACAAAAAGTGATAAATTTCTGAAGAGGGGGGGGGGATTTCCCTTTGCCCCCCCCCCCGGCAACGCCTATGATATAAAATGATTAAGTTCATACTAAGGTAAACAATAAATATCATATTTAATATAATTTTTATAAGACCAAGACTCTTTGAAAATTATTTTGACATGGGAATGTCATTGGTAGATGTTAAAAGATATCACTATCTAACCATTAGATTAGATTGGATAAAAAAATGGAACTTAGATTTAATTCCTCTATAAATTCAACTGAGAGACTAGCAAAATATTTATTTACTCTGCCAGTTTCATTTCCTTCAGAGCTGACCACAAATATGAAATCTTAACTATTTACCATTATAGAAATATTTAGATCGGTATATTTTATGGGTTATTATATTATATAGAACCTAATGTTTTTAGTTAGTTTATGCTCAAAAGCTCTCTCACAGAAACCATCATTAACATTTTTGAACCATATTTATAATATAAGATTCTACAACACATTGGTAGAAATTATAAACAAAGTGATATCTTTTATTTCAGCCAAAAATTAAATTTTTCCCATGATGATGTTAAAAAATTACCAAATAATGTGTATCACAAAATTACTAAAGATTACACATATCATGTCCACGTTAAATTGGGAATGTGCAATTGTACCAAGGGTTCAAATTGTGCACTATGCCAGCATCAGGTTAATATGTTGTTAATATATTTGATAAATATTTTTATTTAGGTATAAACCATGAAAGAATTCAAAGAAACTTTTGTAAATGCGCTTCCAATTAGTGATCTGCATCGGGCCTAATTATTCAAGCCTGGCTCGCACGGCCCGAACCCAATTTTTTTTAAAAGTTAGCCGGCCTGGCCCGAATTTGAAATTATTTTTAAAAAATTTACCGGTCCGGCCAGGCCTGAATTTATTTAAATATAGAAATTAATTTTTATAATTACTTAAAATAAAAGACATATTTTATGTAGCGTTTAGTTTCAATAAATTAAATCAAAATTTTTTATTTTACATAAAAAATTCAATATAAAATTGATAAATATAGATATATTTCCAAAATCCGACCCGACCCGGCCAGAAATTTTTTTAAAAATATTAAGCCCGGCCCGAACCCGATTATTTTAAATAGAATTAGGCCCGAGCCCGTCCGAAGCCCGTTCGTGCCGGGCCTAACTTTGCAGATCTCTACTTCCAATTACTACCCAAGACAGTAATAGAATTTCCCTTAGCTTTAGGCGAATGTTGCACAAGTCCCTCATTTTATCTACCCTTAAAAAATATTGCAGATGATTTTAAACTTTCTGATTTATTGAAAACAATCATAATAATGAAGATTCGAATAGCTTCCATCAAATTAAAACATTTTCCAATAAATAATAATGATGATAATATAATTACTGAAATAGAATTAATGACATCAGAGGATGCTGAAGATTTATCCAAGGATATATTCAATAAATCAATTTTATTAAAAGGAACAAAATCATTTTATCATAAATTAAAAAATGATTTAAAAAATTTTAAAACTAAAACTCAATTTCAACCTTATTTTTTAGATAAAAAAACTTATTTTCGAAAGGGATCAAAGATTCATGTCCAACCTACAGCTTTGGCTAGAAGAGAAAGTATAAAATAAAAAAAAATATGATATTAGCTAATCTTTTATATAATAAACATAACTATTTTTTTATAATATTTTTGTCAACTCTTTTTATAGATTTTTACCTTTATTTGTATATGCATTATATTTTCATATACATTTTATATTGTTGAATAAATTTATTATTATATTTTATATATTTTCTATAACTCTCCCAAAATCCTACCTTCAGCCTCGTCGTGGCGGGAGACTGGCAACGTCTTTTGGCGGCTAATGGAGGTCTAAAAGGTTCACTGTAATCTGGGTCTAGGAATAGAATCACAGTCTCCTCGATGGGGTTTAAAAACCACTTAAAGAGGTTGATGTCAGGAAGGTCATCCGATTGTAAAAACCTCGCTACAAAATTTCCCTATGGCTACAACAAAGCATACGCGGGGTACAGCCCAAAGTACCCCGTGGGCCTCCTCATCCGCCTACGACAAAAAGAAAGATGGGAAACCTGATGGAACCACGATTCATGAAAATGAAACTTATGACGGCCATAAATGACCTGAAAATAAGTGGAGAAACCAGTTTACGGGGGATCGAGCTAGGGTCGCGACATATGTTGAGAGTATGACGGGAAGAGCGGGAGAAGTCATCGATGTATTGATGAGAAGACATATAGATGCCTGCTGCATACAGGAGACTAGATGATAAGAAAATAGGACAAGAATGATTGGTAAGACTAGCTAAAAGTATAAATTCTTTTGGCAAGAAAGTAATGATGGTAAGACTGGAGTTGGGGTATTGGTTGCGGAGAAATTGGTAGACAAAGTAGTCGACGTGAGAAGGCTAGATAACCAGATAATGGTTATCAAGATAATTTTTGGTAGAAAGCTATATAATATTATCTCGGCATATGTTCCTCAGGTTGGAAGAAGTGAAGAAGAGAAAGATATATTTTGGGACAGTCTATTGGGGATGATATCGAGACTGGCTAATGAAGAGGGGATTATCCTGGCTGGTGATCTGAATGGACATTTGGGAGCGAGTAATGAGGGTTATGAAGGTGTACATGTAGGGTTCAGTTACGGAATGAGAAATTTGGAAGGAGAGAGGATTTTAGAATTTAGTGATGCTATGGATATGATTGTCTGTAATACAATGTTTAAGAAAGAATCAGAGAAGCTGGTGACTTATAAGTCGGGTAGTACCAAAAGTGCAGTGGATTACTTGTTATTAAGGAGATGTGATTAATGTATAGTAAAAAATGTGAAAGTGATACCGGGAGAGGAATGTATAAATCAGCATCGACTAGTTGTAAGGGATCTCACTTTAAAGGTGCCAGGGTCACTAAAAGAAAGTTTGTGCCAAGGCTGAAGGTTTGGAAATTGAAGGAGGAGATTGCTAGACGTCAATTCAATATGACATTGGCGATTAGGGAGGCGGAGGTTACACAAGCATCTGGGGTAAATGACAAGTGGGAAGCCATGAAGAAAGCCTGGGTGATGACAAGTGAGGAGGTATGTGGATAGACAAATGGGCCGGCTAGACATAAGGAGACTCGGTGGTGGAACCCGGAGGTAGCAAAAGCTGTGGATGAGAAACGGAGGTGTTTCAAAGTATGTCATAAT